AATAAACTACAATGACGAATTTGTCCTTTGTCACATTTACGTAATGCGTCAAACAAAAATTGAGGCCGGAACACACCAACTCATAAAGCCGTTATCAGATAACTTAAAGACCCGTTAACGTTAACCACCTTCAGCTAACACCCGATTCCTTTCGGGGAACGCTTATCTTTTTATCTTTTACCTTTTTAGATGACCGATGACTATTTTATGGTGCAGTTTAAAAATAAATTATCAATTTCGAGTTTTGTGAATTTTGATTGTGAAATTGAAGTGTTAGACCCGATTGCTCAATGTTAGTGTCAATTTAAGATTAAAATTCTAGGATCGGCGGACAAAAGCGCATAAGAAAAAAAAAGTGCTTCATTTGTTACATATTTTTTTGTGTTGTTTATAGTGTTGGAAGATGTGAAGAGAATGATAAATTTGAAGACGCCTTTAGAATAAAGTTACAAATTTATGGAGTAACAAATGAATTTGGCTTATGTGCTTTAGCCGGTAGATGTATTAATTTAAATGAATGACGTTGGATGTTGATTTATGTGCTTTAGTCCGCCGACCCTAGAATTATGGCGGTAGGTTATTGTATATTAATACTATATAGGCACTATTAGGCACAAACATAATACTACATAGTTCACTATATGCGAAATAGGCGTCGTGGCGTAGTTGCGAACACCAGCCCGTTGCACATACAATACTACATAGCACGAGTTAAATATCATATTTAAACAGAAACCTCATCTATTAAGTATTTGCATTACGTATGCATTGTAAAGAATGAACTGCATTTTCTTAATGAAGATGAGTTACAGATAAATAGAGATCTTCCGAACAGGACGTTAATTCGATCCCGGGTCGTTCAATCGTCGTTAAGATAAAGGCATCTCTGCCCACCTTCGTGCTACCTGACACTAGCGGTTAGGGTTGTCAGATATTTTTATTTTTAATTATTTAATCTATACTTTAGATTGATATAAAATCTTAGTCTGTGATGTTTTAACTGAATATTTTTTGTTTGTTTTAAAGTAAATTTGTTAATGTCACAACGTGTGCTGCTCGATGTCACGTATCGTTCGACGGTTCTTGAACCTGAGTCCTTGACCTCGACCAACCGTGCCATTGCTTGGAAATACTGACCCTCCGAATAAAAAAATCTTTTGAGTGAGAGCCTTTCACAGAGGGAGAGAGGATGTAAAATAGATATTAATAATAATTCCAGATGACATACTAATTACATGGTCTCAAACTAGGCAATTCTTTGCACTGTCACAACCCAGAATACTCAAACCAGAACCAGTTTAGTTAATAACAGATAGTTCGTAGCATAAATTAAAGAAAAGTTATCTAAATTGGTCCTACCGGGAAGCCGGGACCTCATCATCTACCGCCCACAATTTAAACGCTGAGCCACCGCAGTCGTCAAAACTTCCAAACCTTCAAAATGTGTAAGAACCAAAAATTAAAAATACTTTGTAAAAAACGGAAAGACGTAAAAAAGAAAGCAATATGCATTTTTAAGTTCCCCTTATATAGTCATAAAAGCAACTGCCACCCCTGCTTAAGTAGCTGGTGAGCGCACGCGCCGCACCGGACACCGGTATGCAAACTGCCCCAGCTGTCTGCTCGTGTCGAGTACCATAAGTTAATCTAACTTATTGATAGGGGAAACCGCGAGATCACCGGCTAACTTGTTAACAACAAATAGGTTTAACGGGTTAAGTGTGTGTTAAGGAACAATTTTTTTATTATGTTGCTGGCCCTGGAGGTTAAACGGTCAGTAAGACATAATACGAAGACATGGTGATATACTGTATACAGACATCGTCATCTTAGAGTGAATAATGAAAAAAATAAATAAATACCTCGTACATGTACGTCTACGTAATTTTTCAGGGCGGCGATAAAATTGTGGTGTAAAATATAGTAAACACAATAATTTAATTTAATTTTTATTGAATTGATATTCAATAATTTTTTGTGAAATTACTCCACTAGTTTGTTATAATTATTAATACAAAGATCGAACACTCAGAAAA